GATCCTTTATATTTAGTTCATTTGAGTAACAATAATCAACCAAAAGCATTTTCATTATTATAGCAAAAAATATTATTGGATCAATAAATAATGATGTAGAAAAACCATCAAAAATCCTTTAATTTTAAGCAATCAAATGAAATTAATCGATATCTCAGAAATAAAAAATCGAATTTTTTTTTTTTAGATCAGTTAAGATAAGGAGGATGAAAATAATTTCAAAAGTAGGTCTAATGATAAGACAAGAAACACTGATTTATTGTAATGTGGTTTTGTCATTTTACTTTAGTTAGTGTTGAGATTTTATAGTGACAATGATGTTAAAAGGATTGATAAAATTTGGAGGTTATTTGGGTTACACTAGTAGAGAAAGAAAGGGCAAATCCAGCCGTGTTTGGGGACATCAAAATGAAAAAAAGTCGGTCCCGGGTCCAGGGTATTACCATTAAATTGGCAAATTGCAATCACTTTGGTGTTTGAAAACATATTTTTGGACGATAAATAGCTTTTCAGCAGCTCTTTGAAACTATCCAAGATGACCGCTAGCCTCAAAGGACTCTTAATTCGAATCGAAACAGTGCGCGTCACGTTATGCCCTATCTGACCCATGATATATAACAACTTGCTTTTGCCGTTTTGCCACTCTTACGCCACGGTCCTCAATCCGCGTTCCGATCTAATGTTCTGATGGGGCTGGTTTCGTCGCAACATGTGTATTCTTATTATTATTGAGCGGAGCGAGCGAAGCTCTTATACGTCGACTTTTATGCATTTCGTAATACGCAAACTCCTCCTAGACGGCTGAATCAATCGTTTTCAAATTTTGGATGGTGGTAAAGACCATATCGGTGAGTGCCAACATCTATATGGCGTTAAAAATAACTCTCAGGAATCCGCCCCACTGGGTCTCAAAGTTTCAATGTAATCCTTATGGAAGCAGTATTTGACACATAAACAAAGACATCTGATCAGCTGTTGACTTTTGAATGCAGTAGATAAATAAATAGCTGATATCATTATTCCACGGATATTAAAACATAAACGGTGGTATGGATCATAAAATAATCAAATGACGACACAAGCTTGAGGTCCGCGACGTAGGAAGTGTTGAAGGAAGTACTAAAGGTACACAGTCTGGAGTGTGGAAACTGTTTATGACGATTAGATTTAGGTATCTGCATTCCTAAAATTCTATGGGAAGGGAGGAAAACGGATCCGCGACGTAGAAAGTGGTGAAGGAAGTACTAAAGGTGAGCAGTCTGGAGTGTGCAAACTGTTTATGACGATTAGATTTAGGTATCTGCATTCCAAATATTATAAGGGAAGGGAGGAAAATGGGTCCGCGACGTAGGAAGTGATGAAGGAAGTCGTCAAGGCAAGCTGTCCGGAGTGTGGGAACTGCTTATGACCATTATATTAAGGTATCTGAAATCATAAAATGCTATGGAAGGGAGAGAAACAGGTCCGTGGCGTAGGAAGTGGCGAAGGAAGTAGTAAGGTGAGCAGTCCGGAGTGTTGGAACTGTTTATGACGATTAGATTAAGGTATCTGCAATCATAAAATGCTATGGGAAGGGAGCAAAACGGGTCCGTGACGTAGGAAGTGATGAAGGAAGTAGTCAAGGCAAGCTATCCGGAGTGTGGGAACTGCTTATGACCATTATATTAAGGTATCTGCAATCATAAAATGCTATGGAAGGGAGAGAAACAGGTCCGTGGCGTAGGAAGTGGCGAAGGAAGTAGTAAGGTGAGCAGTCCGGAGTGTTGGAACTGTTTATGACGATTAGATTAAGGTATCTGCAATCATAAAATGCTATGGGAAGGGAGCAAAACGGGTCCGCGACGTAGGAAGTGATGAAGGAAGTAGTCAAGGCAAGCTGTCCGGAGTGTGGGAACTGCTTATGACCATTATATTAAGGTATTTGCAATCCTATGATGCTATGGAAAGGGAGGGAAACATGTCCGTCATGTAGGCGAGCTGTCCGGAGTGTGGGAACTGTTTATGACGATTAAATTAAGGTATCTGAAATCATCAAATGCTATGGAAGGGAGAGAAACAGGTCCGTGGCGTAGGAAGTGGTGAAGAAAGTAGTAAAGGCGAGCAGTCCGGAGTGTGGGAACTGTTTATGACGATTAGATTAAGGTATCTGCTATCATAAAATTCTATGGGAAGGGAGGATAACGGGTCCGCGACGTAGGAAGTGATGAAGGAAGTAGTCAAGGCAAGCTGTCCAGAGTGTAGGAACTGTTTATGACAATTAGATTAAGGTATCTGCAATCATAAAATTCTATGGAACGGGGGGAAACAGTTCCGTGGCATAGGAAGTGGCGAAGGAAGTAGTAAAGGCGATCAGCAGTCCGGAGTGTTGGAACTGTTAATGACGATTAGATTGAGGTATCTGCAATCATAAAATGCTATGGGAAGGGAGGGAAACAGTTCCGTGGCGTTGGAAGTGGCGAAGGAAATGGTAAAGGCGAGCAGTCCGGAGTGTTGGAACTGTTTATGACGATTAGATTGAGGTATCTGCAATCATAAAATGCTATGGGAAGAGAGGAAAACGGGTCCGCGACGTGGGAAGTGATGAAGGAAGTAGTCAAGGCAAGCTGTTCTGAGTGTGGGAACTGCTTATGACCATTTTATTAAGGTATCTGCAATCATAAAATGCTATGGAAAGGGAGAGAAACAGGTCCGTGGCGTAGGAAGTGGTGAAGGAAGTAGTGAAGGCGAGCAGTCCGGTGTGTTGGAACTGTTTATGACGATTAGATTAAGGTATCTGCAATCATAAAATGCTATGGGAAGGGAGGAAAACGGGTCCGCGACGTAGGAAGTGATGAAGGAAGTAGTCAAGGCAAGCTATCCGGAGTGTGGGAACTGCTTATGACCATTATTATATTAAGGTATCTGCAATCATAAAATGCTACGGAAAGGGAGGGAAACAGGTCTATGGCGTAGAAAGTGGCGAAGGAAGTAGTAAAGGCGAGCAGTCCGGAGTGTTAGAACTGTTTATGACGATTAGATAAAGGTATCTGCAATCATAAAATGCTATGGGAAGGGATGAAAACGGGTCCGCGACGTAGGAAGTGATGAAGGAAGTAGTCAATGCAAGCAGTCCGGAATGTGGGAACTGCTTATTGCCATTATATTAAGGTATTTGCAATCCTATGATGCTATGGGAAGGGAGGGAAACATGTCCGTCACGTAGGCGAGCTGTCCGGAGTGTGGGAACTGTTTATGACGATTAAATTAAGGTATCTGCAATTATAAAATGCTATGGAAAGGGTGGGAAACAGATCCGTGGCGTAGGAAATGGTGAAGGAAGTAATAAAGGCGAGCAGTCCGGAGTGTGGGAACTGTTTATGACGATTAGATTAAGGTATCTGCAATCATAAAATGCTGTGGGAAGGGAGGAAAACAGGCCCACTATGTAGGACGTGGTGAAGGAAGTAGTAAAGGCGAGCAGTCCGGCGTGTGGGAACTGTTTATGACGATTAGATGAAGATATCTGCAATCATAAAATGCTATGGGAAGGGAGGATAACGGGTCCGCGACGTACGAAGTGATGAAAGAAGTAGTCAAGGCAAGCTGTCCGGACTATAGGAACTGTTTATGGCAATTAGATTAAGGTATCTGCAATCATAAAATGCTATGGGAAGGGAGAGAAAAGGTCCGAGACGTATGAAGTGGTGAAGGAATTAGTAAGGTGAGCAGTGTGGAGTGTAGGATCTGGAAACAGTTTGTAGCAGTTAAATTAATGTATCTACAATGCTGAAATGTTATGAGTAGGGATGGAAGCATCCCCACGACATAGAAAATTGTGAAAGAAGTAGTAAAGGCTAGCAGTGCGGAGTAGGGGGAAATGTTTGTGGCAATTAGATTAACGTATCTAAAATACTAAATTGCTATGGAGAGTGATGAAAACAGGTCCACGATGTAGAAAAAGGCTTAGAAAGTAGTAAAGTATGAGCATAGTGTGAAAACCGTCTGTGGCAGTTAGATTGATGTATCTTTAATTCTAAAAATGCTATGAGAAGGGAAGGAAACAAGTCTATGACGTAGGAAATAATGAAGGAAGTGGTAAGGCTTGCAGTGCAGAGCGTGGGAACTGTCTTTGGCAATTACATTAATATATCTGCAATCCTAAAATGTTATGGGAAGAGAGGGAAATAGGTCCACGACGTAGGGGGTGGTGAAGGAAGTAGTAAAGGTGAGCGTGTTGAGTGTGGGAATGGATTAATGTATCTGCAATGCTAAAACGCTATGGGAAGAGACTGTAGACTGTAGGTTAAAATTATTTCGAAGCACGAATCGATACATTATTCGATACATGCAATCGTTTTTAATAGAAATTCACAACTGAGTTGACAACAGCTGATTTTTACTCCATAGAGAATAAAAACTATTTTTACTCCATAGAGAATAAAAACTATTTTTACACCATAGAGGATAAAAACTTTTTTTACTTCCTAAAGAGTAAAATTGCTACTTTAGACCCGCAACGCATGCATTAAAACGACTGGTATTACCGCAGTATGACCAAAACAATATAATATAAACCCTTGATGACTCCGCTCAATTTTGTGGATGCCTCTGCAAACGCCACCTAGTTATTATTATTAGTGTGCTCTCTCCTTAATTATTTTAGATGCCCAAGGTGTACAGATTTGAAAGGATGGTGTTTTTGGCTTCTGAGGTCATTAAAACGAAAAATGATATTTGTCTCTGGTCTAGCCTTCTCAAATTTAGGATATGATCTTTGATATGGTCAACAATACACACTGAGAACACGCACGTAAAATGTGATACTTTTTGTCGGCTGCTATATTGTAATAAAATAACTAGTAATTTATCTTTCATATAGTACTAGCTCTAGAAGTTTTTACTAGATTAAAATCCCTGAAGGCCTGGATTTAGCTGTAGCAGAACATATTTGAAACAGAATAAAAATAAAATGAGAGGTTATAAACAATTATAAACAAAAAAAATAAAAGTAATAACACAACATGGCTACCACTAAAGAACTTGATGTCAGGTGGATCCGAAGATATAGAATATTTTGTTTAGGTGGATGTGTTATATGCGTTATTCAAGTCTTCCTAGCTTATATATTTTTTACAATTCATGCAGATGATGGAAAAATTCTTGGGAAATATATTATTAGCAAAAAGGCTCCTTTGGAGGTTAGTTTTCTCTTACTTGATTTGAGTGTTACTAGGCCTAGGTCTAGTTGTAGTAGTATTTTGTCATTGATACTGTCCACATTATATTATTTTTTAACTATCCTAATCATTATCAGAACTGATTAAGTCATCATAACTAATCAATTAGGCAGTTGGTAATAAAATAAGCCAGTCAATGGTAGAAAACCTAAGGGCCTAAAATCTAACTCTTACTAACTTAATAGACTAAGGTAGTTTTTAAAGTGAAGATGTTGTTAGGCCTAAATAATATAAATTAATATTTTAAAATTTGAATGCCAGTCTGAACCCTATTTTCTACCAGTCCACAATTAAGTTAGGCCTAACATCAATCTCTGAGCATACCGTAGGCTACTGTAAAATTACCCTTTTACCACCGTTCAATTTAATTATTAATGAAAGCCCAACTGCTAATTGTAAGTGTTAACTTATTACATCTCTATTTGTCTACATTTTAATATTTGAAAACGAGATTTGTACATTTTTACCGATTTCTGTTTGTCTTTCCATGACACCAAACTCACTTGACCAACCAAAGAGAAGTTTAGTCAAAGATTTGTTATAGTTAGGTAGGTTACTGTTGGCTTACTGAGTAGGCTAATAGACATCCTTTTGTGATCAACGATGGTCTTAAATGTTAGGGCTATCTAGGCTACACAAGAGCTTTAAAATACCACTTCCCTCTTTAACATAAGTTGTGTGCTCATTCAACTTGTTTTAAAGAACAAGTCCAAGTCAAGTCAAAACTATTTATTCCGTTAAATAAAAACAATCATTACAATCATCGTAAGTAACTTAAGAGGAATTATTCCCTCGAATAGACTATTGATCCGTGATGGGGGGAAGAAGCAGATACTTAACTTAAGTTAATGCTGAACTTACGACTTAATAGACCTAGCATTGGCCTGTTGTGATTTGCTACCCTCCTCATACTTGCATAAACATTACCGCCATGGAATCATGAATTGTGTTTAGGCAAAATAATGCAAACTAAATTAAGCCAAAACTTGAAGCGAGGACGATATATGTATCAAGTAAATAATTTACCAAGTCATTTAACTTATTTGGTCAGGTTTACAATAATGCATTTTCTATGCCAATGAATATATAAAAGTACAATTTGTCTAATAAAATAGAAAATAACTTAAAAAAGTGTTTTCATATGATGATGCACTTGCGCATGAACAATGCACAGTTCATACTTAAAAGTTACTTGATTACTGCATCATATGTGAGCTACAAAGTCAGAAAATATTGCATTACATATAATAGCCTACTTCCAAAGTTCCATGTGCCTATGACCACCCACCCGTTAGTGAAAACCTATCGAACATGGTAGGTTTAGTAGCATACTCCTTGATACACACACCATGTCATCCATCTGGATACCATATTAATGATATTTTAAACCGTTTACAATTTCGTATTTAACTTACAGAATAGGCCTACATGTTATTTCTAATTTTGTATTCTCTTTTAATTTTAGCTATTTGATGATCGAAATGATGTCGAATCTTCAAGGAGGTTTAAAGAAGGGTTAGATGATGATGAAGATGATAGCCCCGGAAACAGTAATGCAGTTGAAACGAGATTAAAAGTTCCACCTGATAAAACTGAAAGTAAAAATAGAAACAAAGTGCCTGCAAAATCAAAAACAGATTCTCACAGTCCAGATGCCACACACCGGTAAGTTCACATTTCCTACCTAATTGAAGTAACTCCAACGTTTTGTTGGATTCATAGGCCTACATTTAGGCCTAGTAAAATTTACAGTATGGTAAACTATGTTAACTAATGAAATGTTAAAGAATATACCGGCTGTTATATATACATAAAATAAAACAACTTTTTTGTGTATCCAGAATCTAGGGCTGCTTTAATGAATGGGTCAAGGCACTGGGGCGTAAGAGGTTTTATATTTGTCAGGGCACCCAGGGGAGGGGGTGCAATTATTTCTCTGGCACATAAAGCGACACAAGCAAACCGTGGGCCTACCAGAATCTGCAGATTATGCAGCCAAATTGTTAACCCTTCCCATAATAGCCCCTATATTAATAAAAACTATATATCTCAACTTAACATATCAATTATCAATCATTGATATGTGGACCTCACCAATGTTGCATCATTTTAACCCAAATATAATTGAAGGATGAGTGTGGAATGGAGTGTAATGTTCTGTGTGTAGCTTAGTTACTAAGATCAGCTGTTTCATATAGCCTACCACAAAGGTATATGTTGTGTTAAGATTCACATAATGCTGCAAAACCGTAAATTTGAGAAAAGCATAAGCCGCACACGAGTGTGAGATTATACAGTTGAAATAATTGAGCAGGATGAACAGCAGGCGTGGTTCGTTTCTGTATCCATGTTCAGCTAAAATTCATACACCAAATGCATCGTTTGATAAAGTCATAATGTTTCTCTGGTAGGGAGAATTATCTTGAGAAATGTAAATACTTTGTCAAATATAGGATTTTCAAATGTTATTAAAAATGAACATAACAGGCCAATAATTTTAACTTTCATCCAAACCAAAATTAATTGACTTAGGCTAAGTTAATTGATATTTTCAAGAACACTAAACGTTAACAAATACAGTAGGCCTATCTAAGCTTGTCTTAAGCACAAAATGAGACAAAAGTTTATTTAACCTTCTCTTTTATAGCAGCAATAAAACATTCAGTCTTCGGCTAGAAGAGCTTGATTTCGTGCCAATGTGTGAGATCACAGGTCGGGAGGCTGTGTCAGCCATACATCGCGCAAAGACGCAACATTGCAAACAGCTCTTGGCCAACATCACGTGCCTTAACCTGCAAGGAGACTTGTATCCCCATCAACTTCCACACCTGTGTCCTAACAATGGTAAATACTGCAGCTGATTATGTGTCTAGCCTTTAAGTTGTTCATCCGCCACAAGAATGTATAAACATGTTCTCAAATAATGGTTTACGTTACCTGTGTTCCTGTACAAACTATTTATTGTAGTGTTAATCAACAATAGCTTTTTCGTGTTGTGGAAAATGTACCACATCTTCCACGACTTATTTTCTACCAGTGTTGTGTCTTGTATTGTATGTTTTGTGTGTGAATGCTATGTTTCATGTTATAACTGTATTGATATTTTAAACTTTCTGAAAAACTCCACCTTGAGGGATTTGTATAATGTAAATAGGCTATCTATATTTTGTAAGTAGCTGTAATTCTAATCAGGTGCTCCATTTCCGTCGGTACCAAACAACTGTAGGCTACTTATACTAAAACAGATCGTTCTGTCAGTAACCCAAGTAGGTAACATAAATTTTTATTTGAAGTTAGGTAGGCATTTTTGGTAAAGAGCTCATATGCCAGAATAGATTTGATTTCAGAGAGGATATGAAAAGCACTCTTTACTGTAAAGTAGGTTTTAAGTAATCTTAATAGGCAACACAGAAATAAACTCTCACAAAATTAAAGTAATTCATATTAACTTACAACTTTGTCAACTACGGAGGTGGTGTAGGATGAAGTAAGTTTAGTGCCAACTCTTGGATGAAAAAAGTTGTACTGTATTATGTTTTCAATTTTCGGGTACAGATTGTGGTAAACCATTGCTCTTGTCAAAAATGGTTTTATTTCTGGACATTTTTTCCTTAGGAATGGAAGCAGGAAAATTGCTGGGATGTTACAAGGACGAGAAAGCCTTCCGTCTGTTGTCTGGCTACTATACCAATCTGAAGACAACCAACTCTCCTCAAAACTGTATCAACTTGTGCCTTCAGTCTGGCTTTCCGTATGCTGGCGTGCAGTATGTGTAAGTCACCCATCAATTGATCTAAACCAATACCACACACTCCGGCAAAATCTTTTGATGAGTCATTCACTGTTATTAAGGCAATTTACACTCAATCCACAAAGTTTCAGTACCATAATCGGTACCACAGCTCAATTTTAATTTACAAAAAGTAGTTTTTTTGAAGAAAATTTGCAATTAAGAGAATAAATCGGTGAAATTTAAAATATAATATGTAAAATAATTGTAATGTAAAACAAATTTGTTATTGTACTTAGGCTAAGTATTTCATTCGGGTTTAGAGATTGACTTGGCCGAGCTGAGCTGTAGTTATGTTTTACATTGCTGACAGTGTTGTTTGTTTTGTTGGTAGCAATGAGTGTTTCTGCGGCAACGACGAGCCGCTGTCCACTGCTCGACTCCCAGACTCGTCGTGTAACATGAAGTGTCCTGGGGACCCTAGGGAAGCTTGTGGAGGGTACTACACCATGAATGTCTACCAGACAGGGATAGCTAGTGAGTAACTAGAACATCTATACTTGAACATCTTACTTGTTGTAGACCTGAAATGCGTAAAGGTACTCGCATAGTAGATGTCCTAGTACCTCTATGTAGAACAAATACATGGTGTCTTCCAGTGAAGAGATCACTGTGGAGGTGTACCACCCTGTTTACATAGAGGTATAGGACGGGTTATCTCTCAGAAACAAAATACAGAGAACATTGAACCATAGTTCAAGAACTCAAATCAAATCAGTTTTATTTCCACAATATATAAAAAATTTACAATTTTTCAAAAAAATTAAATACGAATAGGCCTATATATAGTCTTGAAGCATTATACAGTACATTGTTTACGTAAAATAATTCTAGTAAAATTAAATTCATAAAGATATAATAGTATAAACTTAAATACTAGTTGAAATATGTTTGCTCCGGCTACCACTGAACTGTACCGCAACCACAATGGTACATACAAAAGAGGGGGCGAGAGCTTAGACTATTCATAGGACCAGACATTCCATCCCCATATTTAAGTTGTTTACAGTTTTAGAGTCAAATTGGATGTAGTTGAATCGACGACTGGGACGGGTGGCGTCGTCCTGTAATCCAGCTACTAGGAGGTCATGAATTGTGGATATTTATAGGCATGCACTGTGGATGCGATACTCTCTGGTGTGGATTAGTGTCCGCACAAGTGAGTAATACGACTATCCGCAGTACTATCCTGATAATTAGACCAATTCGTATATACCAAGGCAAAAATGTGGTTCGGATTCCACTATAAACTGTAGGTCCCTTTGTTGCCATTAGCTGTTTGGGCTATTAATTAACAGCTGTGTCTAAGGAATATGTCGGCCTTAGTCACTAACAAGACTACAAGATCGCGCCACTCATCCTACACTCATCTCCATTCATACTTGGCTTAAAATACCTACTTTGTATGGTCGCCATTTCATTGAAAAGTATTAAAGTACCTATCAACAGATTGTGTTGATCCAAATAACACATTTATTTTTAGGTCAACTGATAAGACTACATAGCAAACTATAGTATGTCACATTGAATATCTCAGCAACACAAACTAATAACGAATATAGAATTTTAGACAGTAGCGCACCCAGTGACTGGTTCATTCAAGTTTGTTCTTTTTGAATAACATTTATTTCAGCTTGTCTATTGATGGAATGTCTACTGCAGTATCCAAAAATGAATGGCAAGATGCATTAGAAGAATATGAATATGTCGACTTATTGGCTGCCTTCTTCTTTCTCAATGTAACTTGACTCTTGTTTGCAGAGTTTAGCGCACAGCCACCCAGTGAACTGCGGCGTGACGGGGAGGGAGAGAGGGCGGAGGGCAGTGAGGGCGTGTCTCGACCCGTCAGAGTTGCCTTCCTACTCACTCTCAACGGCCGAGCTGTGCGACAGGTCTATAGACTTATCAAGGCTCTCTTCCATCGGGACCACTACTTCTACATTCATGTTGATGCGGTAAGTAAGCTTGAGTGATGTATTGAGTGAGACATATCACCTGTTAGAGTATTTAAATCCCGATTAGCCCTCTGTTGCATAGTTTCCTTCGTGTGCCTTTTATATCTAGTCTAGTTAGGATTAACTTAGGTCTAAATGTTGTTAAGTATTGAAATTATAACAAACAAATTATATAGACCAGATGATAGGATTGACAGTAGCCTAAATGTCTAGTTACTGGTAAAAAACTAGATACTGTTGTAATTTACGGTATTCTCAATAATAATTCAGTACTAGGGGAGCATTGCTTGTTGTATTTGAGAGGTTAAAAAAACATATGCCTACATGTCTACGATTTCCATAATTATAAAATTCTGAATAAATATGTAACAAAACAGACTTTAGTTAGAATCAGCTGATGTAGATTGTATTGTCCTGACAGAGACAAGACTACATGTTCCGTGAACTGTTGGCGCTAGAGATGCAGCTCAGCAATGTAAGACTGTCTCGCAGACGACACTCTACTATCTGGGGAGGAGCTAGTCTACTCACGATGTTGCTAGAGAGCATGCGCGAGCTGGTAGATGCTGATTGGGAGTGGGACTTTGTCATCAACCTCAGCGAATCAGACTTCCCTGTCAAGTAAGTTTGCTCCCCCAATGTTTGTTTACAAGCTGGTTAATATTTCTTAATAGAGAATTGGAAAATGTTGTTTAAAAAACTATTTTTTCAACGTTAAATTCAGCTCAGAAATAGACTTAAGGACTGTTCGGACGTATTAATACTTTTTCGGAATACGTAGCTGACGTAGCTCTTAATGTAATTCATAGAGAGTGTTCACACCGGCGTATTAATACGTGAGCTACGGAAGCTACGGCGCTGCCGCTACGCCGGCTAGCTACGCATAGCTCGCATAGCCGAATACGCGCATGCGCACTAGCACACCGGGCTGTCACCACCACCCTCTCTCCACCTCATAATTAATTTATAAGTGGTAAATGTTGGACTATAACATAGAAATTCACTATCACTTAAAAAAATCATTACATCGCATTAATCAATCACATTAAAACTAGACTATAACATAACAATCTTAAGGCAACTTTATATGGTCAATATAATAATACTTCATCATACGAGTACCTAATGTCCACTAATTTTGTTTTGTTTATGCTTGCAAATCTCCTTATCAAAAACAATGTCTCTAATAATAAGGTTTATAATGGTTCATATAGTGGGCTGACATTTTTGGAACATTAATGAATTATTTCTAGACATAGGGGTCCTACTGACACCAAAGACCATATTACACCATATTACACCATGTTTTATTATGTAATCCTTTTTTTGAGCAAAATTATTGCATGTTTTCTGGTAATATTTTTTATATTATAATATAGCACAAATCTTATAGTCTACTATATACGGCCTAAAATTATAGTGAAATATTTTTGTCAACATTAACATATTAATCAACAAACTTTTCAGGGTACTATAAAACCTGCATTTGAACCGTAGAAATCTTAACTGAAATTCATGAAACACTAATAAAAATAAACAATAAGTTAACAAATACAAACAAATATAAAATAATATAATAACATAAACAAACAACAAACTGCTCCCTGGCAACGTAGCCGTCAGACGTAGCTGCGGTGTGAACAGTGCACTGGCGACGTATTAATACACCGAATACGTCTGCAGACGTCTGGCTACGCCGGTGTGAACAGGCCTTTAGGCCTCTTAAGTAGGCTACCTCTGTAAAATCATGTTTAGTTGATAGGTTCTGTTCTGAATGAGGATCTACAATCCTTGCTTGCTTAAAGAAACCAAATCCATTTAAAATTTGCCCAATCCACAACAAATATGAATAAGGCTATTTAATATTACTGAAATTAATAATATTTCAACATTTCAACTTAATATTTGCCAAGAAAATTGCAAACTTTTTTAAGATATCCAATATATATATATATACAGTTCGTATTGCATCAAGAATTGAGATTATAAATGTTTCCTACCATACATGTCTGTTATAAATAAAAAAAACTAGTGGAAATTTAAATCCGCCTCTATCAGCTGTTGGATGCTTGCAATGTACAAACTTTTTTCTTGAAGTATTTCTTCAGCTTCTTTTAACTTGTTGTTTTGAAGTAAATTGTACACTGTGAACAAAAACACAGGTATTACCTTTAAAAACAGTCATAGTTTTGACCTTTATAAAAAGTAGGCATAGGCAAATCCAAAAACCACACCCAAACATTTTTTACGAATTTCTTACCAAAAGTTTGACCAATAGCATCAACATAAATATCAAAATTGTTAATTGTTGACTAAACGAAGTTGACTAAACTCTGGTTAATTTTAGTCAACTTTTATTACATTGACGCCAGTAGCATTTTTCAGGGGAGGCAAAGTACAGTCTATTCAAGTAACGCTCTTTCAGAGATCAGTCCAAACTCAAATGGGTGGTTTCAACTTTTATTTAATAGTATTCAGTAAAATGTTATATTACCTTTAAGAAAAGTTTCAAAGCCGAGGATGTTTTCTAGTTGTGCTCTTCTGCTCTCAATTTCATTGTAGTCTAGTATTTTACATTCAGTACTGGACTCGGAGTCTAGATCTGGAAAGTAAATTTAACAACTTATATATTGTTTAATACCATTAATGGAATTACAGTTTTTCAACTTTCTTTATATTCCTACGTTATATTTCAAATGAAAGCCAACTAGCTGGTAAAATATTTTTTCAAAGGAATAGACTTCAGCTAGCGTACTCGAGAAAAGTCTAGAGGCTAATAGAAATAAAATAAAACAACACAAAACATAACACTGATATTTCTTCCTGATGTAGGACTTCCTCAGAGTGGATTGAAAAGAAAATCTTAAAAACAATTTTCTCTTCAACCTACTTTTTGTAGAAGTCCTAAATAAGGATGAAATATCAGTATTATGATTTGTGTTATTGTATTGTGTTTCTATCAGCCTCTGGACTAGAGGCAAGCTAGCTGAACTATATTCCTTTTGAAAAATTCCTTAGCCTCTATTTTTATTATGCAGTTCAATGAACTTCTAGTAAGCCACAGTAAAGTAAGAAACAGAGGATACATTCGATGGTATACTTAGTTGGTGTCTAGCACCAGTCACTCGTGTCTAGAGAAAATTCTGTTCCTCGTCCCCTCCCCCTCTCCTTTCCCCCCTCACCATCACGTTGTACACTGTACAGTGCTCACGCTGTAGGAAGACCATGTGCGCTACAACTGCTGTAAAACAGTGCTATGTGGCCATCTTCGCTCGGGCTCTTCCTTGCTCGTTAGAAGTACATTTCTGCCTCAACATACCTGAGCTAAAAGCGCATGGTTGACCCATAAGCTTGTATCCTCTGAACCTATATTACTTCTCTGTGAGTGAGCAGTACATTGGTCAACCGATTTTGCAACAATCACTTGCAAGTTTTCTCTATATTTTTGATTGTGGCTACAGTACTTAGTTGGCAAAAACATCATAAATAATACTGGATGAGTGAAGTAATTTATTAAATATGTTTTCACACAAAAAACTGTACCTGCATTTGCAACCTTTTTTACTTTGCAAAATAAATAATTAAAATTGTACAAGTTTTATACTTTACCTGATGTTGAAATAGTGTTTGATCTTGATCCTCCAAGATTCATTTCCTTAAGATCTTCAAACTCAAAACTTTCTTCATTCAATACATCAAGCTGTGGCTTACTGTTCTGTCCTACACAATATTTTTGACTGTTACATGTCTGTGGCAATATTATCAAATCAGGCAAATTAATTGTTTGTGTAGTAAATTCTCCTATAATGTTCTCACATTTCTCATCGCTTGAATCATCAACTTCTGGTTCAGTTCCTGTTTTAAAATCAAGACTTTGTTGTGAATTTCGGTTGACATCTACTTCTTTTGGACTATCGTAATCTTCAGCATCTAGGTTTTCTACCCTTATAATGGTGTAGGTTTTGTTAAGTGTAGATTCTTGTAGTTTAGTTATCGTTTTCCAAGAAGGCTCAAAAACAGTGACTATGTCTCCAGCCGATGTGACTTCCATTTTGGACGCAGTCATCTCCAGTTTGATATCATTTAGATTAATTTTCTGTTCAGTATCTTTCCACTTCATCCTCTTCTTCTCTTTTTGTGGATTAGTAGCATTGCAACCTTTTGTTTTCAACATTTCTATGACTTGTTCACTGTCTTTAGTTGAAAAAATGTCCATCTTTTCAGGCTTTATTTGAACTGTTTTTTGTTTTAAAGATCTGTGGTAAAATCTTGACTTATAATTCTCTAGTCTTACTTTATTTATAAGATTCTTTTCTGAGTCATTGTGGATTTCATGTGTTTGTGCTCTAGAAATGATTTTCCTGTTTTGGAGAATTTCAGCGACCAAAAGTTGAGAACCCAAAGAAGATTTAAATGTTTCTTCAATGTCGTTGCTTGAAATTTTCTGTGGATTGAAGAATGAGTCTCGATTGTTTTCTTGTTTCTGCATACTTGCTTCATTTGTTGTGGCATCTTTTGTTTCTTCTTCATAATGTTTGTTCAGAGGTGGAAGCTTAGCACTTTGATTTCCACCCTTCAATCTTCCTGAGTTCAAATTATGTGATTTAGTTTTTTGCCTCAGCACAAGATGGGTTGCAATTATGTTTGACATGAACTTGTCCAATCGTCTAGAAATAAACGGTCTCCAAAGAATATTGTTTACTGAGGGCCTCTCTTTAGGATTTACCTTAAACAGATGAATCATAAGGTTCCTAAATTCAAAGCTGTACCTCAGTGGCAATGGAGGATACGTTCCTTTCACAATCTTAAACACTAAACTCTTCACATTTCCTGCACTAAAAGGTTTCCGCAGTGTAGCCAACTCGTACAGTACACATCCCAAAGACCAAATGTCACTTTTACTATCGTAAGGTTTGTTTTCACATATTTCTGGTGATAAGTAGTACGGTGTACCGACACAAGTTTTTGCAAGTTCCATCGTATTTTCTAGGATTTTTGCAATTCCAAAATCGCCAAGTTTAACGATATTGTTTCTCGTCAAGAAAATGTTCTGGCTTTTGATGTCTCTGTGGAGTATCTTCTGGTCGTGAACGTGTTTCAGAGCCAGGCATATCTGCACAAACCAATCGAGGATTTCTTCTTCGGTGAAGTAGCATGATTTTAGAGAGTTCCTTCTTATCCTACTTGCCAAGTCACCTCCTTCACAATAATCAGTCATGATGTACAAATTCCCATTCTGAATAAAGGACTCTTTGTATGATATAATGTTTGGGTGCTGCAGCTTCGTCAAAACTCTCACTTCACGAAGTGCCTCTTCCCTTCCCTTTGGTGTCATTTTAGAAATGTTTATTTCTTTTGCAACACAGTTTGCTCCAGTTTTCTTGCTAACCACTAAGTATACCAGCCCAAAAGAACCTTCTCCGATCCTTCTGTCTCTGTTGTAATTATCCATTTTTTATTTTTTTATTGACTAATGATACATGTAGTTATCCAGTCCATCACTAAATCTTGATGCCATCATATCACCTGTTCACATAGTCAGCTGTTACTGACTGTAGTAATCTTATACCTTTTTCGTCTAGTTGTCCATCACTGACTAAAGATTAGTTGATACACATTATTGATTACCAACCGTTACTGACCAGTGGCAGTTTGTTGTGAGTTGTTCCCTGGTTACTATCTGTTTGGGTTCAAAGTAATTGGCCTGAATTTTTTATGATTCGTGAGGTTTGTTGACCAGATTAATCAGGCTTATTGCAATATAATGATGCATTTTGTTTATTTCATTTTATGCTCCCCAAACATGGATTTTCTTTATCGCAAGAATATAAAAAAAATAACAAAAGTTACAGAAATAAACATTTTACTCACGTAAATTATTATTTATTAGCTGATGTTTTCGCAGGTTATAAAAAATAATACATACATTTGAACTCTTATTCTTTTAGATATTTTATTTTATTTTACATTTATTTCAGCCACATAGATGGGTAGTGGAATATTGATCATATTGTTTGATTCGTAATAATGTTCTATATAATTATGGAGAGATAAGTAAAATTTGAATTTACTGACCTAGGCAAAAATCTTGTGGTTTCCAAAAGATACATGAAGTGGAAGAAATGAGAAACCAATTGTAATATCTGTAAGTGTTTATATAATCATGCTGCTTTAGGTTGGATAAAAATATGTTGGAATTGGGGATTTAACTGGATGGAAAATTGGTGTTTGTTCATAAATAATCACCTATGTTTAATTTTAATGCTTCACTCTTTCTGCGATTGGATGCGTTAGGCCTACTGTGTGATAAAGTTGTTGGTTGCTTTACCTAAAATTATGATGGTAACCTACCATGTTCTACAAAAGTTTATAAAAAGCTATGAAATGCCCTTTTTTACTTAATTTTTTTAGATATAAAATAAAGAACTAATTATAAAGTGTTCCATGTTTTGATTGTAGCCTTCTATAAATAAGTATGCACCGACAAAATTTATCTGGGTTCAAATAATTTGTGCTTTGCATTAGAACTATATTCAAGCTTTACAATGTGATTTAATTTCTCTGAATTTTATATAAACTGTTTTGCTTTACACGTGAATAAAGTAATTTTATTTTTCATTTTGTTCTTAATATCTTGATTGTTAAATCTTTACAAAATGCATCTATTCCCAAAAGACAAAATAAAAATAATACAAATCTTTATACTCACCTAAAATGTAAAATTTGTCAAAAATAATAACTTTTTTGGGTGGCTTGTTCCTGCTTCGACTCAAATTCAAACATTGAATATAATTAATTCTTTACTTAACAAGATTTTTGTCAGCTTTACATTGTGCTTTGTTTCACTTACCATTCAGTCTAGTCTTGTTTTTCTTCTCATCTTCATATTTTTGCCACCACAATTGGCTAAAGCCGTTTTTATTCTCCAGGAAAAATTCCCAACTGGTGGAATTCTTGACGTCCAACAGAGATTTGAACTTTGTGAAGTCGCACGGGCGGGAAGTGCAGCGCTTCATCCAGAAGCAGGGGCTGGACAAGACGTTCGCGGAGTGTGAGGCACACATGTGGAGGGCCGGAGAAAGACGACTGCCGTGGGGAGTGGTGGTGGATGGAGGTGAGTCTGAAATATACGTCTTTAGTGTTTCATGTGTTTTTAAATCATTAGTATTTTTTTAATTTTTTGTACAGGAACAGTCGAAACCCTGGTCTTGGTAATGTGAAAATGTAACATTTACCTTTTGTTTGACAGAATCATTGATTTATTTATAGACCAATGGCAATAAAATAGGTCTAGAATTTAACCTGTTGGAATCAAACAAGCAAAGCAACCTTAAGATTTGAAAATCACATGGCTACTTAGAAAATTTTGTGTGTAGGCCTAGTTAACTTTGGTGGTGTTATTTTAAGGGGTACTGTGGGTTTTTTTCATGAGTAGTAAAAAACAGTTTTTGCCCAACAATTTAGGATTTACAATCCATAATTCTGCCCTCAGTTGAGAAACTACCTAAAACGTAATAAGATTAGTACCGTACTAAAACCCAAACAAAGCTTATATCAAATAAAATCAATTTATTCCAAAAATATAAGTATTATAAATATGTATACTAAGAAATACTCTGAAATTAGGTCCCTGCAAAGCAAAGCTTGCATGGATTACTGTATGAAATCTGAAAATTCAAAAAAGAAAAATCATAAAGTATGCCTGATAAAAAACTTATCACTAACTTTATCTTGCATGCGTCGGGAGATTCAATGGTTAAACAAAATCTTAAAAACTCAGTGATGCATAGATGTCAGCTACAGAGCTGCAAATTGCGCCATTCTGTTCACAAATTATGCCAGCAAGTAGCGAGGAGCCTCGTTGCGGCATTCAAGCAAACTAAGGATTCATACACCAAATGGCCCTAACATAAAAAACCACCCTCATAAACTGGACCTTGATTTACTAGGAAAGTTAGAATTGTTGGATGATTTAAAATTTTTTAAAATCCTATTTTAAATCTCTTGACCTGATGACTCAACAGGCAGTGACTGGGTGGCGTTGAGTCGTCCGTTTGTCACCTACCTGACCAGAGAGCCGAGGGACGACCTGATCTCCGGTCTGTTGACGGTGTTCAAGTACACACTGCTACCGGCAGAGTCGTTCTTCCATACGACGCTGCGCAACTCAGAGTTCTGCGCCAGTTATGTGGACAACAACCTGCATGTGACCAACTGGAAGCGACGACTCGGCTGCAAGTGTCAGTACAAGCATGTGGTGGACTGGTGCGGCTGTAGCCCCAACAACTTCAAGACTGAGGACTGGCTAAGGTTACAGGTACGATGGAGTGAATCATTTTAGTAAGAAAACATGTGTTAAATTGTTACTAGCCACTATGGAAATTTCAGTAGCTTTTTGATGGTTTGTCACTGGACCAAGCTTGATCATTTGAGAAAAATTACCCTTGCCAAAGAAATAGCTGCTCTTAGTCAGTAATAAAGCTAAACAAGACTTTTCACGCCGCTTCACTACTTTTTGATACTAAAGTAGACTTATTATCTGTTTAGATCATCTGTAGCCAATTTTGCTATTGATAAATTATTATAGTTGAATGATCCACAGAGTAGTACAGTATAAAAGATTTTTCTTGCTTAGTTTTTGTTACCATCTTTTTTTAATCTTTTTTACCATCTTTTTTGAAAGATGTATACAATAAATTGTCTCGTCAGTTTGGCCTTGGTTAGAACTTGAAATCAATTTTCAACACTGTTCTTTTGATTGCAGGGCACTGATCCAAGGCCGTTGTTCTTTGCAAGAAAGTTCGAGCCTATAGTCAACCAGGAAATCATATTCCAACTGGAAGAATGGCTGTATGGACCTTATCCAAGTAGTAAGTGGTTGAGATCATTTAACTAGCTTAAATACAACTGTAGTTGTACAAATTTATTGTAATACTACTGTTGCTCTCTATTTTCACAATCAAGTATAATACTGCTTAGCTTTTTTAATTTGTTAAATTAGTGGTTGCCATTACTAATTTAAGGCCATATTTAGGTTGGTAGCATTCAGCAGTTTTTTATGAAAGAAATTTAGTCTCAAAATATTTTAACTAAAAACTTATTAAAACCATTTGAGCTACTGACAAAGGTAACTTAAAACCATTTAATAAAAACTTATTTGTATTTGAGTTTTTATGAACAGTTTTCTACAAAGAAAGTGTTACCTGATGGATTAATTCTTTTAAATCAGATTGTACCTTTAGAATTATTTAAGTTGGTAGGATAGTTGGCGATAGAGTAGAGTCCCGCAAACTCGGCGTAATGTGGACTGGAAGGGTGTTGAGTTTGTGAAATGCTGGGTTAATGGGAACTAGTGTTAAAATAACAACAATACAATTTTTAAGCTTTTTAACCACATTTTTTATTAATATTTATATTACAAGTCAGTATTAGGTCATCAGATATAGCACAACAAATCCTTGGTACGAGTTGTGAATGATTTGACTTGAGCTGGCTTGAGTCCATGTTTAACTCGGACAAAAAAAATCACTAATTTTCTGAGCCAGGTGATGGCCGAGTTATCCAGACTGCCGGGTTATCGAGTGCCGAGTTTGCGGGACTTTACTGTAATAATAAAAAATAAAATGAATTTTGGTTCTAAGTATCTATGTCGCAATGTTGCACTACTAAGAGATAAATCTTTTCTTTTATTTAAACAACCTCTTCCTTGCTGTCCCATCAAATACAAGGGGGTAAAAAACTGGAATTCAATAAATATAAGGATATTTTTACAAATTATCAACACTTCAACCTTACCCTTCAAAGTACTCTCCATTGGATGCTAAGCGCTTGTCCGGCTTATCTCTACGGTTTTTCCATTATTCAAAATAAATTTGAACTCATTTTTTGAGATGGCTGTCAGTTTCTCCCTCGGTTTTTTTCTTTACATCTTCAATGGTGTAAAATTGTTGTCCTTTCATGACTCTTTTTATCCATGGAAATACTTGGAGTCAGATCAGGTAAAGAAGGACTAAGGAATGTGGGGTAGCACAACCATCTTGTTTTTGTAAAAAACAAGCGAACATCATGGAAGAACCAGTCATTTGTCTGCTTCGTGTCGGGTCTTTTTTGTCAAACACTGTTGCACAATCTTTGTTAAACTTCAATGAAATTTCTAATAGACAACTAGAAGGTAAAATAGGACAAATAGGGGAAACAAACTCTAATTGAACAATGCCTTTGACAAAAAATAAATATGTATAGCTTTGTGCTGTTGTTTGATTTTACCTGACAGCATTTCTTTTGTACAGGGTGACAATGGCTTCTTCCATTTCCTTGACTTTTGCTTTTTCTTTGGGTCATAACCACAGTCATTTTTGTTAGCTATTTTCATCATTAAAACATTTTAAGTGCATTTTTGTCCCGCAAAAGAAAACTATACAGGTACTCAATGTTCACTTTCTTACGCGTCATCGTAAAAACAAAACATTAGAAAATGGTGCCAACAGACAAACACAACTAACTAGCTGGACTGCAGCAGCAGCACTGGACTGGAAGTGAGTTGCACTACACACGCCTAGCGGCTGAAATGTATACTATGACAGCACCTCGGCAATGCTATTCCTGTTATTTTTCAGTAGCTTACCTAACCTCTTCTAGTTACTAGGCATATACAAGGAACGTATCATGGTAGTAGTGAGTTTGCATAGTACGAAAATTAGCATTACTGACAAATATTAGTGCTGGGAATGGGACATAAATTTAACTTATTTATTTGACAACAATTTTCTCACAATGCTGTCCAGCAAGGTTGCTACAGTGGTTCTATTGCAGTGTGCACAACAGTGCTAACAGCAAACATTTGTGTGCACAGATGTGAGCAGTCTGCACAGTTACTGGGAGAGTGTGTACCACTACCAGGATGTGTCTCCGCAGTATGATGACACTCTAGGCACTGTGGCTGCCTCACTGACACGTCACGCCACCAGACATCTGAGCGACTCTGCTGTACATTGTAGCGTCTCTGCAGTCAAGGTGTACGAGATCACCTCCTACTTACACAATGACTACTACAAGGTACGGTCATAGGACAGCTTATCATCTCATGAACCCATTTTTCTTAGATTGCTCAAGGAATGGATGACAGTAGGAATGTTTTCATGGTTCTCGGGGTTTTGTCCAGGACACGAGTTGAGAGTCTTTTTTTCTGGGACATTGGGGTGGAAACTCTTACTTGGTTTTGTTTATGACAGGAGTTAAGGGAGGTTTCCTTGGTTTATCCTGGACAGGGTTGAAGTGTGAAATATCAACAGTTGGCCAGAGGGGTCAGTTCGGGTCGGAAATAATTTTTGGGTCAAGCTCGGTGTTGAGAAGAGCCAAGTCGAGCTTTTACTTTGGCTACCGCAGAAAGCAGCTTCAAAGTTGGTCAATAAAAAATTAAGGATTTCCCCAAAATCGCAGATGATGTTTATGGTTTTGAAGTCATTGTGGGAGATGATGATGTTGCCATGACTGCAATAGACTTTCACCAAATCACTGTGACCAATGAAAATGTTTACAATTTTGCCCTGTCTATGGAAGATGTTCTAGATGAAAATATGCTGTATTCGCAGAACACATTTATGATTTTCTCGTGACCGCAGAAGATGATTGTTCTCACCGTATCCACAGAAGATGCTTTTGATTTTGTCTTGACCTCAGAAGACGGTCACAATTTCACCCCAACTTCGGTCTAAAATTTCTCATCTGACCTGAGCCGACTTTAAGCAAAAAGAGTCTGGCCAGCAGACCCCTAGTTTCCTAAGCTTGTTCTGGTACAGGATTGGAGTGGGAAAGATTGGTTATATTGATCTAGGACAGGAGTTATATAAACATCCTTGCAGCGTTTAATTTACTATAACAATGATTTGTCATTTTACAGGGCACTTTAATTAAGTACTCAGCCAAGGTTAAAGGACAAGATAACCTAATGACGTTAGAAACATGGTTTCGTCCTCAGAGCAATTTCACTGTCTTGCACAACAGTGGGTTTGCGCAGAGAATCAAGGTAATTGTCTTGAAAATGTTCTTGGACTTTTTATTTAGGGAAAATGTTTAAATGTGTGTAATTACAATGTACTTGATAATATATTCTAATAAATTCTGTTCAATTCATTCATCACAGTAATTGAAGCTTAGCAATGGTTTTGTGAATTGTAGATGCAATTTGTGCACCTAGTATAAATACAATAATATTATTGATGTTTTAGTATATATATACACGATACAATTAATTAGAATATGGCAGCGTTTTGCTACAGGACAGTTAAAATTCAATTGATGTTTCTGTTTTTCCTCTCATATCAATATATAAATTAAATACTCACAAAAACTTATGAGATTAAAACAAACCATAACAAATATTAGTGTTCCTCATAGTGACAGACATAAATATTTGTTGAGTAAGTGGTTTTTTTATGTTAGATGTGGGTCTAAAATTAAATTACCATTTATTAGAGATGGGTTTGCATTAATTATAATTGAGTACTGGGCGGTGATGGCGAGCATATTCACTAGCATGCTCGATCGTCTGCTGGAATCACCGAGCATATTCGAGAGCATGCTTGACCGCCTGTTGAAAACGCCGAGCGTGTTCGCCAACAGGCTCACGAACATGCTCGCCAGTGTATGGGGGGCTTTAGAGGTGATCTCAACCTATAATTTGCTGCTACATGGGTAACTGATTTTGGCTGTAAAGATGTAGAATGTGTATGCTTGTATGTACAGGCTCTGGTGGTAAGCTCCCAGTTTGACCAGAAGGAGCAGATGTTCCGCAACTTGGCCCGAGTGTTGGGTGTCTGGTCGGAGCCTAGTGTGGCCGTTACATTGGTGAGTGGCTCTAGTGGAGCAAACCTGACACTGCTCTGGGTCGACCCGACAGGTGTCTTGGCAGACGTATCAGAGGCCAGTGTGGATGAGACTTCTGCGGTAAGTTGGCTTCATGTTGTTCTTTTGAATCTTAATACAATGATTGTAACATTTATTATAATGAAATTATGGAATGTCCCTATCAAAAGATATGTTGGGCACTGAAAAATATTCTACATTAAAATATAATGTTCTAGAAAGATGATTACTGCTGGTTATGGGGTGGGGTTGGTAGTTTAGTGGGCTGCACAACAGAATGTAAAGAAAAACAAGGTGGCAATGTCATTGGTTCGTGTCCTAGCGCTACCTACCACTCTAAATTTTTAGTAAAGTTCATCCTTGTACTGTACCGGCTAGTAAAGTTTATCCTTGTACTGTACCGACTCACCCCTTGCCTAATTTTGTATCATGCCATGGAAAGAATGTGCAACGGTGTCGGTGGGACTGCAAAGCGAGCTGTGACAAAAGCAAGTCTTCAGCGAGCATATAAAAACCAGATTCTGAATCTCATCAAATGTTTGAATTCTGTAAAGAAAAGATCAAAGATATATTTTATTACCTTAGCATTTCACGCACCGGCCTGATACCTGTGTTACAAACCAATGTAGTTTACTTAAAAGTCTACCCCCTAACACTGTTGTGAATTTTTCAGATATACAATGTAAAGCCCACACTGAAGACTCCTCTACTGCCAGGAGTGTGGTGGCTGAAGGTAGTGGTGGACAATAGAGTGGTAGCTCACACTGACTTTCTTGTGTCTCCACTTCAGTTCTCTTCCGGTGTAGTCCTCACACAGCAACAGGCCAGGTGGGGAACTTGACATTTTGTTCATAAAATTGAAAAACTCTGTCATAGAGACTGTTACATGGGCATGATGGGCTATGGAGGGAAGGTTACTAGGAAATTGGGGACACCCTTGTTTAAAATACAGTAGATGGATGGATAGGAGGCAGAATTGACTTCAGTAGATGGGAAATGGAGATGGAGCGCCATTGTAAGATAAAACTATTAACTGATTAGAGCGGGGACCAAAGCTGACAGACAGCTATCTAGTGCTATCAGAATCTGCAATAACTGTTTTCATGAAATTTTACTATGTAAATTACATTTATCAAAAAAAAAGCTCAACCATGCAGAAATCTTTAAAAGTTGACTATGGTTTTCGCAATTTTATATGTAGAATGCAAAACATAAGTGAATCATTTTGCACTTTTGTTTTGATAAATTTCTTCATAATCAGATATTGCATAGGTTAACTTATAAAATCGGTGATGTGTAGTTTTGGAATAAAGTCTAAAACTGTGCACCACTTAATTGAGTTTTGTTTAACGTTAGGACTTTGAATTGAATAATAAAGGGGGCGGAAGCTAGCTTACCTTAAGCTTGCCACAAGCTGCTTAAGAAATACACAAAGAACCAGAAGCAGAGTTCAATGTTTTCTAGTTTAATGTGATCCATCCTGTTTGTATTAACGGCTCAACAGATTAAGATTGAAACTTCTCATGTTACAGTCCTTAGAATGGTACAACCCCTGTTAAAAAGTACAGTTAAAAAGGTTATTGTAACTTTTGTGATTTCCTCCATAACATAGTAACTCCACCGCCTACCCATGATAAGGGTTGTCAACAAGCTAATGGGAGAAAGTGTGTTTTAGATTGCTGATACTGTTCATTTACTACTTGTTTATTGACTTCCATCATAGACTAACCAACACAAGTAGACTTCTTATCCCATTGTAAATTTTGAAGCTCGTTTTTTGTGTCTATTAGTAACTTACATGTACGGTGAAACTGGGCGCTAGTGTTGACGAAATTTTGTTTCTATTACTTTAAGGTTATTTTCATTATCTGAGCTTTACTTTTTGGTTATATAACTAAGGGACGAGTTATTGTTTATGATTAGATCGCATTATTTGGTTAAACGAGGTTTTAAATTACTGAAATAACAACAAAACAAATTGTTAACAAAACACGACCTCTTACAGAGCACCGTACAGAACTAACAATAAAATTAGTTTCAGCTGTTCCATAAGGATGAGAAATCTACTAAGAGAGTATGTTTTATCTATGCTTCCATTTAGTGGTTTCTGTTCTCTTTACACTGGTGAATTAAGGGAGCTTTTTTCTTTACATTACACTCCTTGACCAATTTTTCCCAACTTTGACTGAAACATGGTATTTTTCTCCTTAACTAAAAGTTTAAGTTCTTCTTCTGAGACATCCACTAAAATATCTTTCAGTCTATCCCAACAATCATAAACATCTTGTTATACATGGAGCAGCAGAAATATCTGACGGTTTTCAAGCGAGTACAGTCCGGCAGCCGAGTGGAGGAGGGTGTTGGGGAGTGGCTCATTCTCAAGGCCAAAAGTGACCCCATTTCAGTCGCCATGGAGCAGTGGACCGGTATACATCGCGCGTTTGTCGTTGAGGCGTATTTTATTAATGGCGATTCTGTTGTTGATACGCAACGTAAGTTTCGTAGGCATTTTAATGTGGCTCGTGGGGAACCTATCCCATCCCGAAACACCGTCAAATTGTGGGTGGATACCTTTAGATCCACAGGATCAACTGCAAAACGTAGGCCTACAGGCCGTCCAAGGTCAGTGAGGACACCGGAGAACGTGGAGCGAGTGCGACAAGCTGTGCTAACGAGCCCGCATCGCCCGGCGCGTAGACAAGCTGCTGCTCTTGGCATGTCTGATCACTCTATTCGACGAATTTTGCTGAAGTTTTTGGACGATTGCTATTTTATATGGGTGAAAGTGAAGGTCTGCGTGCATACTTACGTTGCGTATCAACAACAGAATCGCCACTTTTAAAATACGCCTCAACGACAAACGCGCGATGCATACCGGTCCATTACTCCATGGCGACTGAAATGGGGTCACTTGGCCTTGAGAATGAGCCGCTCCCCACCACCCTCCTCCACTCGGCTGCCGGACTGTACTCGTTTGAAAACCGTCAGATATTTCTGCCGCTCCCTGTATTAATGACTAAAATCTGTTTCTTAGTTTCAATTGGAAATTCTGCACAAAATCCTTATTTTTTTAGTTTGCTAACATCAATTTTCTTTTCTACTTTGATAATTTCTCTTTTGCCTTTGCATTGTCTTTGCTTTATCTAAGCACCAGCAAAAACATGGTGCTAGTGTTTCTAGTGCTTAGTGTGTAAGCACTAGAAAAAGGTCTGAACGACATTCAGCACCTTTTAAACTTTTAAAGTCTATAATACTGTGTCTGTGTCTTTTATCAATCAAAAAATGTTATCAATTTGATTTATAGTCTTTTCGTCTGGTGATGGCCATGTTTCTTTTATGGATGTTTTTCCGAGGGAATGAGGTGCTTGCAACTGTTAAATTGGTGGCACATGCCAGGCTAAGGCGCCTAGTTCCATTGTTGTTACTGTTACTATGCAAACTCTCTTTTCTATAATACAATCTTTTTTTTTTTATATCTTTTCGGTCAACTTTGGCATTAGCATCTCCTAGTAAAATGTTTACATCATAGTTAGGAATTTGAATCACTGGTTCTAATTGACCATAAAAATCATCCTCCTTGTCATCACTCTTATCCTTTGTTAGAGTATAAATGTTTATTACAGATAGGTTTTTTAATTTCCCTTTTAATCTTACATAACAAGTCTTTCATTCACAGCCTCAAATATGACTAGAGCATCTACAGTATTTTTATTGATAGCAAATCCCACTCCTTCTTGGTGTATGCCAACATTTCTACCACTATACTATATCGTGAAACTTACAGTATTAATGATTCCATTTAATGACCACCTAATTTCCTGCAGGGCTACCATCATCCATTTTGTAGTTTTCTAGTCCCCTGCTTACGATGTCCACAGAGCACCTAACACCGCCAGAGAGCAAACGTTCCAACTTCCAAATCCCAAGTCCTTATGTGACAGTGAGGTTGTTGTCCAATGTGATCCATCCTGTCCAAGGCATTCTGTTGGTGATAAGTAACCAGGAATGTTTTACCAAGGAGGGTGGTTAGCCCATCGCCTCAACCCCCAATATGAATGGAGGACCTACTTCTGGTCAGCGGGTCCATTGGACCTAGCCGGGAGGACTGTTAAGCAGATCCACCGACCTTCCCCCTATCCGCCACCCAGGGGACGCTCCGTATACGCTGAAGTAGGAAAGCGCACGGATACTTTATTACCAGATACAAAAACACTAGGTACAAAAGATACTTAATACTAGATACATTACATACCTAATACTAACAAGTTGGTCCTAACTACAATAACTAACTTGTCTTCAATTGGCTCACAGTGTGGTTTCAGAACTCTTGAGCCATCTCCTCTTCAAGTTTCTCAGAGCTCAATATCCTCATCCATTGTTGCATTGATTTCCTACATTTCATCATGGTTCCAAAGATTTTAAATGTCAAATCCTCTGGCACTTTACTCTAAACAATCCTTTCAAATATGTGCGGATCTTTTTTATTTTACTGATCAGGTCTCGGTGTGCTTCTATAATCTCCCATTTTCCTCAGGAGTTGTTACTTGGTTGCTTACTATAGTGATCTACTAGTTCTTATGTAGAAATGAAATAGTGACAAGACCGGAAGAATGTTGCCAAGTTTTCACTGAAATGTTTAATATTCCAGAACTGATGTACTTTGTACCCTCTGGAATATAGCAAATACATTTGACTTTCATAAATATGTGTTCTTCCTAAAAATAATTTGGACAGGAGAAAAAATATCACCTTGCATTAATTTATTGTGTCAGTGAATAAATTAAATTAATGGTTTCTAAGGAAACATATAATTATTTACTGTCAACATGACTAGCGTCTAGACTGCCAGTGCAAGTCCGAGGATCGGACTCAGATCAGGATCGTGGATCAGATCAGTGGATCACCCCCCACCACCGCACCATGTCGTACGCTTCCGAATCATACCGGCGCATCAGCATAGCTTATCTAACTGTTCGCGGAAAATTGTTATCTGTACCACTGTCGCTGTCAAAACGTAAACGTATAATTTTTAGATTAAATTTGAATGAAATATAATTAAACTATCATAACCTAACCAAACTAACCAAACTTGCTGATAATGATAAACTCGAATGAAGGTTTACTAATCGAAAAATAGCTCTGTTCTAAAAATAAAATTATAAATGTCTCAAATTCAATTTTACAATCTTTTAATTATAAAATTAAACTGTCATAACCTAACCAAACCAACCAAACTTGCTGATATGAAAAAAATTGTTGACAAAAAGTTAGTGCTCCCGGTGGGATTCGAACCCGGCACCTTCAGGTTATCAGCCCGACACGCTATCCACTTCACCACAAAGGCTCATGACTCAGTTCCGTATCGTTGCAGTAATGGTTGACGTCACGCCATCGGCACTGAGCGGTGGTGGGGGGTTTTTCGATCTGATCCACGATCCTACCGATCCTAGGAGTTGCACTGGCAGTCTAGATGCTTATGTCAACATGCTGTTGTGCAAGAACCTTGGACCTTTTACAATGTATAGATCTAGCCATTTTCTATATAAAGTTTTAGTCAAATTGAGATTAAAAACAAACATATTTTTTATTTAAATTGAGCATCCAGCACGGGTCACACTAGGCTGGCATCAGCGGCAAATTTAAAAAAAGCCGCTTATCAGCTTAAGGTGACCACAAAATGCGAAGCTGGCACTGCAAGCCAGCGAGTATTTGTCAGCAGCTGGAGAAGTCAGACATGTTCAACTTTTGGTACCAAGGCAGCGGCGACCACCAAGGCAGGTCATGTGATCACTCACACTCCCTTAAGACAGCCAAAAGCGTAATCTGACCACCTCTAGAAGCTGCCAGCGGCGAACAAAGCAACACATGGTTTTTTTGTGTTCTTGTTTTGTTTTACTGGTTCTGTTTATCTTATTATTAGTAATTTGTAGTGTAGAAATTACTGAGCTAAAGTGGTGGTGGAAGTAGTTTTTTCTTTATTTTTGATTTCAAAATCATCCGTGCTTGTGGGACGTTTCTTCCAGGGACGTATTTAGAATCTATGAGGCCACCGGCAGCTCTCACCAGAGAGGCCCTTCTATATTCTGATTCTACGAAGGTTGGAACTGAAGGGTTTAGAAATACACGGGATATTGCTTTAACTCGATGAATTGACCTTTCCAGCAATCCGATCGGCAAAAAGACCTAGGAGGCTAGTTAATAAATAAGTCTTAATTTTTAAAATATAATATTATGGGTCTTAGCTCAGGGCCAGACATTTTTCATTTCTGTCGGAAAAATGTAGACCTTTGGGCATTAGATCAAAATCGGGTAGTTTTGGAAGTAATTAATTTAAAATTATAATTCATAAACTATAGTCGGTCTATACAAAATCACTGCTAAATTTTAAACGTCTTCTGCGTTCACAGTAAAATCGTAGACATCTGCCGCGATCACAGGGGCATTGTGAACATCTTCTAAGCTCACGGCGAAATAGTGAACATCATGCGCGATTGTATAGACATAAATAATCTTTGTCTTTTGCGATCACAGTGAAATCATGAATATCTCCTGTGGCTGCAGAAAACAGTAAACATCTTATGCAATTGAGAAAAAATCATGGAAAACTTATGGGAACGTGAACTTCGACTCACGTGGTCGCGATAAAATCCTGGACATCTTCCACGATTGCCGATGAACTCCTACATTAACGGGAAAATAGTGAAGATCTTTTGCAGTCACGCAGATTTCATCAACGTCTCCTCCAATCGTAGCAAAACAGAGTATCGGTGAATAAATTTATCGAGAAAAAAATTTGAATCCCCAAGTGAGGCTCCTGGCAACCGTCATGTCCGCTGTTAGGGAAATACGGCCCTGGTTTCTTCAAATGAATATTTAGATACTTAGGCCTATTAAGTACTAGTTTACGAGGAGACTAGAACTGACTAGGCGCATAGTGTGACCGGACTGCCAGCCGCTGCTTGGTGTTAGTTACTAGTCTGTCAGTGCTGAATTTATCTACTATTTATTTACATTTTTTATGTTCCACCGTGATGCAGGTTTCAACACAGTGGCCCCACACAGTCGTACCATGTCCAGGACTCCCCTCTACAGGACCTGCTTGATGCCCCTGACCCTAGCCTAGCGGTCAGAGCAGAGGCCAACGCTCACAGATACGGCAAGGACCTCACTCAGTGGATCGACACTCTAGTGGCTAGGTTAGTACTGTAACTACACATTAGAAAATACTATTTTGCAGAAAGTTGGTAAATCTGATTGATTATCTTGACATGCTTCCTGTTTAGAATATACTTTTCTTGCATTGTTACCTTTTTTTCTTGATCAAACTGAGTTTTGGGTTTCTCGTTTATTATACATGTAATTTTGTTTAATTTATTTGATTTTTAAAAACAAGTTTTCTGTTCACAATTCATATATAATCTACTTCAATATACTTACGTATTATAGCGACCATACCGATAAATTGACTTCCAAATAAGATTTTAACTAGTTTAAATAATAAAATCTTCCTAACCACCCTTAGGTTAGGTTAGGTTTGGTTATTATTATGTGTGGTTGGTATAATAGTATAATACATAAGTAAGTTAGTACCATTACAATTATTTTCTTTAAATTTCACTATGGTGATTGTAAATTTGCCTGTTTCACTTGAATTCTAGTAATTTTCCATGTTTCCATTAAATAAATTATATAGCTTATGCTCAAGGTCTTATTGTAGTTGTGATGAAGCTTGTGCCTTGAACAGTTTTTTTTTCTCTTTTTAACAGCCTAACACATCTTTCCCTTGTAATAAAAGTTGTGGGATTTGTCCCAGGCACATATCCAGCTGCAAGTGTACCACAGGCAAGTTTTCTATATGGTACGACAAAATGTTTTTGTTAGTGTTGACGTCTGTGACAATTTTTATTGAATGTTTCAAATACCTTTGAGAAAAGCTTTCCTAACCCCTTAAATTATTGTGGATATGCCAGGAACCAAACCCATCCCACAGAAGTGTGAGACACCCTAACACTTACCTTAACAACATACCCAGCTGTTTTATTTGACAGGTCGTACCAGCTGTTTGCTCTAGATGATGACAGAGTGTTGTTTGTATCGCAGGTTCTACTCAGTGGTTGAGTCTTGTGCTGTCACGTCCTCTACTCTAGAACTGTGTCAGTCTCTACAGCTGGAGCCGTGTGTCTCTACGTCATGGAGCTCACTCACTCCAGACCCCAAGTCCACTGTCACGGCCATCAACAAAACCACAGGCCGACTGTCCAGGTTAGTAATGGTCTACATGTAACCTTTTGAACTCCAATGTCCAATGTATCTGATAATGTGGGTAGTGTAACCAAACTTACTTACAATCTGTGCTACTTGAGCTGTACTGTACCTGATATCTTTAAGGCCTATTTTGCTTGGAGTGATTGCAGCGATAGTCGCGTGGCGATATTAGCTCCGCGATAGTAGCAGGCAATCGCAAAAAGGCCGCCGTAACAGCGATAGTAGCTGAGCAATAATCGCTGTGCGACTATCGCTACAGTCACTCCAATCAAAATAGGCCTTTAACAACCGGAGAGTCAAGTGCAACTACTACAGAGGGTTTTGGGTTCAAAAATATCTTGGTGAAGTCTGATGAATGGCCTAGGCTTTGTCTTCTTGGCCAAGAGGGAGGACCGTAGATTGAAGGCTCGAAAACTTTCTTGGTCACGTCTGGTGTGGAAATCGAGGAGTTCACCTACCTAAAATAAACAGTGAACAGCTGACAAGAGGAAGTTAACAGATGGGTTTGTTTTAACTATGCTTAATGTATGTGTACTGTACATTAAAAACTTGTAGTATTATAATCATTTGGATTTTTGTGCTCATAATGTGAGGTGAAAAAATTAAAAGAGACATGATTAAATCAATCTCTAAGCCTTGGGCTCTAAATTAAAAATCTAGTTTACATCAAATCGCTCTGAGATAAAAACTAAAATATAAGTGGAACCATGACTCACCTGCCAGTTAAACCATGTGTCTTCTATCATTATTGTACTTTGCCCAAGTTTTCTGTTTCTGTGAATTCAAAATGAAATGTATTTATGACGACTCTTCACAACTCCAGGCGTAAACAGGATTGTTAAATAGATTGGTATTCAGCTTGAAAATCTACTTTTAGGCTACTATATTAACATCATAGACTAACCATCACAATTAGACTTCTCATCCCATTGTTAAATTTGAAGCTTATTTTCATGTTTTCATGGTCTAGTTCATTCAATAACTTTAAGAAAGGACCATGAGGTTCTAAGTTTGCCTCAATAAAGAAGGGGTTTCATTTCATGTTGATGATACCACTGGGCGCTGGTGTTGACAAAATTTCGTTTACATTATTTTAGGGTCAATTTTACAATCTATGCTTCATTATTTGGTTATACAGGGAGGGGATGCGAGCTGGTCTAGTGGTTAGAACGCGGGACTCCGGTTCCAGGGATCCCGGGTTCTAATCCTGCCAAATAACCAATGGATTTTATCCATGTGATGATGCCGCAACCCCTAGGTCTAGCCTGAAGTAATGTGAAAAACAATTCCGGGCTCGTGCCTAGCGTCCTAGGACAAAAAAGGCGGGGAAGAGTTATTGTTTATGATTAGATCGTTTTATTTGGTTAAACAATGTTTTAAAAAACCAAACTAACAAGAAATAAATTGTAAACAATACACGCTCCTAGCAGCACTGGACAGAATTAACAATACAATTGGAATTAATCTACTAAGGGAGTATGTTTAATCTATGCTAATATCTAGTTGCCTAGCAGAAAAAAAAGGATCACTAAACACAGTACCACAGATATTTTACCCTGAGATCTACAAGATTGTGATTCTCAGAGATAAGTGTTGGTAATGAAATTAATACAGTCCGTCACTTCCCACATTAGCTGATGGATATGATTGTGTCTAGGTGGTGACCAAGGTTACGGGCCCCAGACTAGGGGCAACTTGCCAAGCCTACACTGAATTGATGTGATACAGAAGACCATATTTATATATTTTTGTGAAGAATGTAAAATGTACCTAAGGGCCATTCTTTGTGAGCTGTAACATGGTAACTTGTTGCCATTGTCTTGACAGAAACACCAGAAAACACTCACATAGAACGGTCCAAATCACCCTCTGTTTGTCCCTGATTGAAGACTTTTCGTAGAAATATTATTTGTTTAATGATTTCCAAACTAAGTGTTTAATTCAATTCAATTCAATTCAAAACCACTTTATTCATTTCCTGTACATAATACATTGAATACGTGCCTCATTGTATTAACATATTGCTGCTGCTGTAGTTTTTCTCTTGGTTACAATCTTTTTTGAAAATCATCAAATTCTAGCATTTTTTATATCAGCTGCAGTGAAAACACATTTTAATTAGTTTAATTCAAAACTTAAAATTAATTAGTTTTTTTTTACAAAAATTTAACATGATTATTGTAGTTTATCTGGTTTATTTTGCGAACATGACAATGTTTACTCTCTGGTGCACATAGTGGTGTCTGTGTTACCTTAATTGGGGGCAAACAAATTGTGGTCAAATCTTAAGATCTTACCCAAACGTTGTTGTTCTCAGTTTTACCATTATTTAGTGTAGTCTTAAAACACAACTTTTAAATAATTACAATGAGATTTTTTCAAGTTTAAGACTTACACAGCGAGTCTGTTTTAAGCATTTTAAATATGTTGTAATGAAACTAAATTGTAATTTGTCAATTGTATAGTTCATACACAGTAACAAACTTGGACTTCTTGATATTCTTATTCAGGGTAAGATCTTTGAGATTATTTAGGTAAAATATTTTAAGTGCCACTCGATCATCAAGTCGATTGTATTAGTGCATTAAATCTCATCATCACAGATTGTAAAAAATCAGAAAATGGGTATGCTAGAAAATGTCTTAGTACATTCTGAAATTTGAAAAAATAAGATACAGTTGAACCTCTATAAGACGAATTTCAAGGGGTACGGGAAAAATTCGTACTATAGAGGTATTCTTAATAAAGAGGGTCGTTTTATCGAGGTTTAATGCTGCTGTTATTCTTCTTATAGAGGTTTCTCCTCGCTCCAAGGTTTCTCCAAAAACAATGACTGAGGAAGGAGGAGGGATGGGTGGGGGTTTCATGTTGAGACAAGCTTCTGTTTGGAGTACAAACTACGTACTATGGAGGTTAAGATTATGATAAATTCGTCTTATAGAGGTCACGTTCGTCTTGTAGAGGTTTTGTGCTAAGAATATTCGTTGTATAGAGGTTAATCAGTCCTAGTCCATGTCACAAACAAATTCGTCTTATGGAGGTTTTTAACTTAATTACTACGTTGTATAGAGGCGTTTTTAGCATTGACCTATATGAAAGTGTCAAGGGGATTAAGAAAAATTCGTCTTATCGAGGAATTCGGTTTATCGAGGTTCGTACAAACGAGGTTCAACTGTATCTGTTTTAGTGATTTAAGTGTTTAAGTTTAATAATCTTGGGGGTTTACCTTTAGGTAGTGTGTTGTTAGCCTGATGGTTAGCATCTCAAACAAGTCTGGTTCAACTACTATAAAAAATTGGACTAATCTCTTAAATAATTTGTGTAACTCTAAATAAAATTGTTTGTAATTAATAAAAATTACAGCTAAAATATTGTGGTTTAAAGTAATTTAGACTAAAGCAAAAATTCATGAAAGTTTTAATGTTTTCAATTTTGTACTGAATAAAAAATCTTCAGCGGACATATTACTTAATCTTTGCCACTATTAAAATATTTGAAGGTAAACTTTAAATTTAGAAATTAAGTTTGAGGTTTTAAGCCACTTATGTCAGACTCTTAAAACTGCTAAAATATAAAGAATTTCTATATCTTTACCAGTTTTAGCTATAAATGTGAAGAGCAATTAAAACCCACAATTCATTCAAAGTAGCCATTATTTATAAAATCTGTGATGTCGAGATGCAAGTTTTAGCAATAATTGATAGGCAATGAGACATGAAGCATGATCAAACTAAAGATATTCTAGGTTAATGTAGATTTACTAACTTAATACCACACTAGTCTTGAATCTTCTGCAATTTTTACATATATTTATTTTATGTAGCTTTATTTTATAAGAGTTTAATTAATAAGCGTATATTATTTGTAAATTTGAATGTTGAATGTTTTAGTGGTATGTTGTTTATAAATGCTTTATTTTACCTATAGCTTTTTAGCTGCCGTTTGAATATTTGTAAAATATTTAGAATTTTTAAGTGTGTATAATATTGTGTGATTGTCAAAAGAGAATCTTAACCGGTCCTAAAAGTAACCAATCAACATGTTATGGATACAATTGACCAGGTGAAATGGTTTGTCATACAAACTATTACCGTATACTAAAACAACTAGTCGATTATGGTGTGAAATTTGTATTTAAAAATTTGTAACAGATAAACAGATTGTATTTCAACATGTTCAGTAAAATTATTTTTTAAAGATATATTTACACTCAATGTACTGTACTCATATACTCAAAGGTAAATTGATATGAAATGGTAATAGAATGCTTAAAATTGGTAATGAATACTTAATACCATTAGTCCTCTGGATAATAAGTTTCTAAAGGTCCTAGCAGTCAAAATTTAACTGTTTAGTTTATTAATATCTATATTTAAAAACTTTATTTAAAATTTACATTTCTTTGTACACTTTTACAGATTTTTCTTCCTTAAAGTTTATAAAAATATAAACGTTGTTTTCCATTTATCCTTTTGTTTTACGCCTTTTGATCATCTTGGTTAGTTGTTTTTCCAAGAAGATACATGTTTCTTTCACGTTTTATCAAACTAACTGATCATGTAATAACAATTGGGTTTGTTGAGCTCAAGCACATTTTATTTATGACAATCTTATATATAATATATTAATCGTTATGTTTTCCGACTAGTAGTATATTAGAGTACAGTATAAGTCTAAACATATTTTTGAAAATCTTATAAATTTTATTTACAATGCGTGACTTCAATGACATTTGAAATGCTGATCAAATAATGATCAAAGTATGTAACATAAGTTTTACATTTGACATTTATATTTTTGTTTATTTATGATCTCGTTTATTGCTCATTTTTTTAATACTTCATTTGATTTAAAATTACATTTAAAACTTAATATTCTAAGAAGAAGTAGTGTGTGACATTAAAATTATTTGAACTTAAAAGACATTAATACCCATTCAGGAAAACACATTCCATTCCTCCTAGGTATAATTTACTAGCCATATTGCCGTGCCAAGTTATGTGTTTGTGCCATCTTGAGTATGTTTTGTACCATATTCCCGTTTAATGGTTCAATTCAATAGCTTAAAGAAGATAAATTTGTAAATTATAACAGAAGCATAATCCAGTCACATAACTCAACCATTGGTTTTCGTTTGGTTAGTAATTAGGGTACTTAATTTTAAAAAATATAATGTTTGAAAATAGTTTCATTCCATTTGTATCAATAAAAAATTACGTTAGTCGTATGTAAATGATCAAACTATAATTTTACCTATATTATTTTTCAAACATTGTTTTTGCATCAACATATTTGTTCCTTTGTTATTTATAACTCTCCTAATGTTTAATCTGAAGTAAATTCAAAGTTGAAATGATGTTCTTAATGAGATAATCTTAGATGTGTGGCGTTTGAAATATGTGTTCAAAGTTTTTTGTGTCAAAAGTTTGGAAAATAAGTCAGTAAATTTATTAGTGTTGCAATATTTGTTAAGATCCAAAAAATAACCTAAGATTCCTTACATATTCATGTCAGAAGCACAATTCATTTTTGTTTTATTCTCATGTGTGTACTTTTAATTAGTTGTTTCTGGATAGCAATTACCATAAATGAATTAGTTGTACTGTTTAAGAATTAATATGACATTTGTTGATTGTACAGAAATATACTATAATTTTTCATTTTTTAATAAATTGTACTTGAAAAATAGTGTATTTTCTATCATATTTCCATCCTGCCATTAGTTTTAAGGAACTAACTATTTATTTATTTAATTAAAAATAGGTATTTACCTTTGTCTACAGCTCAAACTGTTGTAACTTGAGCTATGGACGTTTTGGCATTATAATGCCATCGTCAGACGTATCCAGTCGGCATCCAGTTCAGATTGTGGCAATGTGCGACAGGCCTGTTTAATTTATTCGCTGTATTTTCGTTAAATGTAAAATGTTGTTCGTGCTGTGTGTTTTGAATATGACTTACGTCAACTGAATGTTCTACGTCTGACGATGGCATTATAACGCCGAAACGGCTGTAACTCAAGTCACAACAGTTTGAGCTGTAGACAAAGGTAAATACCTATTTTTAATTACTAACACAGGCAAAAACATTTTTTTTTTAATTATTTATTTAAGTTAAACGTGGTTAAACTCAAAAATAAGACAGTGATGCTGATGTACATTGCTTTGCTGTGTATTTTAAGCTAGATATGAATGAAGTGTGATAGTTGAATGGAGTGAGATCTGTTCATATGGTGTGAGAAATCTCTCATTCGTTTTAGTACAAATTTAACCACCAATAAGAATCAGGGTAACTGAAGTTCACTACATGCATATCTATTAAGGAACGTTGAGTTGAGTATGGTGAGTGTTAAAATTGAAAATAACTTTAAACTCTGTTAACCAAACTACCAGAATAAAAATTGAAATCTGGTAAAAGCTGTGATATGAATGGATTTTTTCTTTAAACCGGTTTGTTTAAATATCTGCTACTGTATTAGGCAATCCATATAATTGCAGAAGCAACTAGTTGCGGCTCCTACGAGAGGCCATCATCGGGTGGTACAAGAACAAGTTCGTAGCTCACATAAAGCTTGGCAAATTCGTAAACTTAAAAGTAAATATTTAAAAGCAGCACACACACAAACAATACATTTTAAGAATGAATGTTAATCGTTCAACACATTTTGGTGGTCAGATTTTACAGCCTTATATATCTCAAATACCTCCAAGAAGTTTAATTTAAACCTGTCTCTATAAAAATGTAAAATATTCACATTACTATTGATGTCAGTGTAGTTGTGAACATGGGGAATCAAATGATTGGTGGGCTGTCGATGCTCCTTAAAATGTTTTGTAAAGGAGCATGACGTTTGGCCAATGTAATATTTATTGCAATCTTTACAATTGATCTTGTATACGCCAGTTTGATCAAACATAGGTGTTATTGTAGGGCTTTTTCTATTTATTCAGGAAAAATCCCCACACCCTTCTAAGTCTAATAAGTATTGTGTTAAGTAAAGGTACATTATGTAACAGTGCAAATAATTAAATTCAAATAAATAATTTATTGCTATACAATACAATGTACAATATTTGAATATGGGTATGACACACAATCCTTGTCAAATATTATTAAAATAGGTATGACTATTTGTATTTACACTTTATCTTAAGTCTAATAAATATCTAATACTAAGTTCTAATATCTAAAACTTTGGCACAAAGAGTGATTAATTATATCTAGATATGTTTTCAAAATGCATAAAATGACTGGTTATGTTATTACAACAATATAATAAGATTTCTAGTAAAGTACAGAAGTTAAACATTAGAGTTAGAATGAAATTTAAAACTAATATGTTTTCAAGATGCATCTATTTTGACCCTAACAGTACAAATAATGTGATATAAGTAGTCATAAATATTATAACTAAAACAGTTTTTCCTAGCATCTAGCATGGTAGTGATTAGAAAAAAAATAATAATATTAATATAATTCTTCTGTTTTGTGAATTATGTACATTGCTGAACTCTAAATTGAAATACATTTTTGTGACTTTGTTCTTTCTCCTACAAACAAACTCACGCAAATTGGTAGGAGCAATCTAATAAAATTGGAGTCAGAAACAAAGGGAGGCAAAACTGTATTTCTGAAAAAAATTAATGTGATTCTATAAAGGTTAGGTAAAAATAAATATTTGCTTTGCTTTTAAAGATAAAGGCTTAAGATTACACAATTAAATACATATAACATTTCTTTATTGGTCATTCAAGTTGACTAAGGGTAAAATATTACAGTCATATCACGTACCCGAGACTTCTTCTTTATTGTGATCTATTTTATTGAGAAGCAGGTTACAAAAATCTATCATGTTCATGTTATTTATCTATGCACTTTATACTTAACCATAAAACTGGCCTTTCTAAAGTATTAATATAATACATTATTTTTTATAAATAAAAAACTATTTACAATTAAACTGTTAGGACTCAGTTTAATGCTTATCATATTTATATATAAATGTTGTCTAATCCTACATAGATATAAATATGTAAAAGTGATACTATACATCTGTTAAAATCGTCAAATAGACATTGATTCATTTTTCAAACTATGCTAGAGTACAGAGTAGAGAATACATTGAGAAGGAATCGATTTATCATTAAAATCTTATTAAAATCTTGTTTTTAACTACTTGGTCTATTTTTAACGTATGATTGCATTTTGAGATTTGAAATAGCTTTTATACTTTTGCAATATTCAAACGTAATATAGTAAAATACAAATTTTAGCACCAAATTACTTATTTTATGTCTTAGTCATGAATTTGAATTGAAGGGATTCCTTTAGTTTTTCTAGGGCTAAAATAATATCCCCAATTTTTTGAATTGGACTCAATTTCAGCCTAGGAATATTTATAATCAACATAAATGTATCATATAAGTGGTGATGTAACTCATATACTTATCAACTAACGATAAGCTAGAAGTCAGAGTACACTTTTATTGTTTACTATTTGGTAGGAGTATCCAAGTGTACTTAGGAAACCATGAAATGTTTTGACATTTCTAACCTCATTGTTACTTGCACTGCAGCAAAACATATTAACACAAGGAAGTATTTTCCGTTTTAGTTATTTTTCTGTGATTATGTATCAACCATATTGCGTAATTTATAGTATTTTACATTCTCAATTCGTCGCCTGCAAGATGAAGAGGCGAAAGTACATAAACTTATCATATGTACTTTCACTTTCCCCCTACGTCTTGCAAGCCTCGAATTATATCTGTTAGACCTGCATTGCCAATTTTGGGGGAAGATTCACCTTCAAAGCAAATTCAAGTTTAAATCAACCACAACTCAAAAATTCAAAAAAAATGTCCCTTTGACATCAAATTGTTGTTTCTGGGTATTTTAAGTCATGTGTGACTGCCTTAACGGTAGAATTGCGTCGAGCAAAGTATACTGATGTTGATTACACTGAATTGAGTAATGAAAACATGTAGTCGGTGATGACGAAGCGAGAGTGACTGCGATGCAGGTTGATTCGATGTTACTGGCGTCGCATCATCACTCTATAGTTGCGGCACCGCTTAACCAAGTCAAATTTGCGATATCGCAGACAGTGCCACTGCGGTATCTGTCGCATGTTTTCTACCACCTAGTACAAGTACACACAAGTGTGAACAAGTAAAGTGTTAAATGTAGATGAGGGGACCCTTATGTAAATTGCACATTTTAACGGAGCTTTAAACGGTTTTCCAAGGCAAAACAAACTGCTATACCCATTTACCTTTCTATGAGTGTGTTTAAGACAGTTATGAGGTTAATAAAACTAATAATTTACCATTAATTAATTTAATTTACAGTTTTAAAAAGTAGCCTATTTAAAATCCATGTTTCCATCAGACTGTGGTTAAACATTCAACTGAAAGATCAGCTGTTCAAATTCAGTCCTGAACCACGGCCGCCTTTAATTACAGTTAGTTTAGGCAGCTGTGACTAAAGGCTTATAAAGAAAGTTAGTCG